AACTTACAAGGAAGCAAAGAAACGATGGACAGTTCTCAACACAATGCTTAATATTTATTATACAGATGGACAGCTCTCAACACAATGCTTAATATTTATTATACAGACTTTGTTGAAATGGAAATTTATTGCTATGTATTTTGAATCCTCTCTGTTGTGCTGTGCACATGACATCCTTTTCTTTTCTTACTTTATATTTAAGTTTATGATATGTTTCTTTTTCCTTTCTCTATTGCACATTTGAGTTTTGGTGTTTGAGTCTAAAATAAAAAAAAAAGAAACACTTTAAAAAAAAGAAGAGGAAAAAGAAATTGAACAAGCATCAACAAACTACCTGAGAAAAAATCCCCACAGCCAGATGGATCCACAAACTAATTCCAGCAAACTTTTAAAGAACAATTAATCTCAACACTAAATAAACTATTTGGAAACACAGGGGAAGAAGGAATCCTCCCAATTCATTTTATGACACAAATATGGTGCTGATACCTTAAACCAGGAAGAGTAAAGAAAGAAAAGGAAAATTACAGACAAATTTTCCCAATGAATATTGATGAAAAATTGTAAATAAAATACAAGCAAAGAAATTATAGCCATATATCACAAAGATCATAAACTATGACCAGGTAGGATTTATACTAAGAATGCAGGACTGGTTTGATATTAGGAAAACTATTAGCATTATTGACCATATCAATAACAAAACCAACAGAAATCATATGATTACCTCAATAGATGCAGAAAAAGGCTTTGACAAAATACAACACCCTTTTCTATTAAAATCAATACAGAACATAGAAATAAATGGAATTTACCTTACAATGATAAGTAATATTTACCTAAAACCATCAGCAAGCATTGTCTGTAATGGGGACAAGCTAAAAGCCTTCCTAATAAGATAGGGTGAAGCAAGGATGCCCATTATCACCACTATTATTCAATATTGTACCAGAAATCCTAGCTATAGCAATAAGAGAAGAAAAAGAAATCAAAGGAATTAGACGAGGCAATGAGGAAACAAAACTATCACTCTTTGCAGATGTTATAATGGTATACTTAAAGAATCAACCAAAAAAACTACTTAAATAATTAACAACTTTAGGGAAGTTGCAGGATACAAAATAAACCCACATAAATGATCAGCATTTCTATATATTACCAACAAAGTCCAGCAGCAAGAAATAGAGAAATTCCATTTAAAGTAACTATAGACAATATAAAATACTTGAGTGTCTACCTGCCAAGACAAACCCAGGAACCACATGAACACAATTAATAAATACCTTTCACACAAATAAAGTCAGATCCAAACAACTGGAAAAATATTAATTACTTATGGGTAGGCCGAGACAATATAATACAAATGACAATTCTACCTAAATTAATCTACTTATTCATTGCCATACTAATCATACCACCAAAAAATATTTTATGGAGGTAGAAAAAAATAACAAAATTCATCTGGAAGAACAAAAGGTCAAGAATATCAAGGGAATCAATGAAAAAATGAATCAGTGAAAAAAAAATGTGAAGGAAGGTGGACTAACCATAGCAGATATCAAATTGTATCATAAACCAGTAATTAAAAAAACAAGCTGGTACTGGCTAAGAAATAGAGTGGTAGAAAGATTAGATACACAACACAGTGTTGTAAATGACCATAATAATCTAGCATTTGATAAATCCAAAGATCCAAGCTTTGGAGACAAAAACTTATTATTTGACAAAAACTGCTAGAAAAACCGGAAAACAGTATGGCAGGGACTAGGTACCAATCTCTCACACCATATACCAAGAAAAAGTCAAAATGGGTTCATGATTTACATACAAAGAGTGATACTATAAGCAAATTAGGAGAGCATGGAATACTTTACCTGTCAGATCTATGGAGAAGAGGAAGAATTTAGGACCAAACAAGAGATAAGAGAGTATTAAGAAATGTAAAATATATCATTTTGATTATATAAAATTCAAGTTTTTTTCATTTAAAAGTATTTTCCCCCAATTACATATAAAGATAGTTTTCAACATTCACCTTTATAAGATTGAGTTCCAAATTTTTCTCCCTCCTGAGACAGCAAGCAATCTGATATAGTTATACAATCATATTAATCATATTTTCACATTAGTCATCTTGTGAAAGGAATCAGAACAAAAGGAAAAAACCATGAGAAAGAAAAAACAAAAACAAAAAACAAAATGAAAATAGTATGCTTCAATCTGTATTCCGACTCCATAGTTCTTTCTGTGGATGTGGGCAACATTTTTCATCATGAGTCCTTTGGAATTGTGTTGGATCATTGTACTACTGAGAAGAGCTAAATCTCTCATAGTTGATCATTGCACAATGTTGCTGGTACTTGTGTGTACAGTGCTCTCCTGGTTCTATTCACTTCACTCAGCATCAGTTCATGTAAGTCTTTCCAGGTAAATTAAAAAGTTTTTGCACAAACAAAACCAATGCAACAAAAATTAGAAAGAAAGCAGAAAACTGGGGGGGAAATTTTTTTATAGCAAATATCTCTGGTAAAGGCCTCATTTCTCAAATATATAGAGAACTGAGTCAAATTTACAAGATTACAAGTAATTCCCTCATTGATAAATGGTCAAAGAATATGAACAGGCAATTTTCAAACAAAGAAATCAAAGCTATCTATAGTCATATGAAAAAATGCTTTAGATCACTATGGAGTAGAGAAATGTAAATTAAAACAACTCCTAGGTACCACCTCACACCTATCAGGTTGGCTAATATGATATAAAAGTAAAAGGACAAATGTTGGAGGGGATGTGGGAAAACTGGGTCACTAATGCATTGTTGGTGGAGCTGTGAATTGATCCAAACATTCTAAAAAGCAATTTGGAATTATGCCCAAAGGGCTATAATCCTGTGCATTCCCTTTGACCCAGCAATACCACTGCTAGATCTGTATCCCAAAGACATAAAAAAAGGAGAAAAGGACCTATTTGTACAAAAATATTTATTCTTTTTGTGCTAATTGAAAATCAGAAATTGAAGGGATACTCATCAGTTGGGGAATGGCTGAACAAGTTGTGGTATATGCTTGTAATGGAATATTATTGTGCTATAAGAAATGACAAGCAGGATGATTTCAGAAAAACCTGGAAAGACACGAAGTGAGCAGAACCAGAGCACTGTACACAGTAACAGAAGTATTGTACCATGAAGAATTGTGAATGACTTGGCTATTCTTAGCAATACAATGATCCAAGACAATGCCAAAGGACTCAAGATGAAAACTGCTATCCACCTCACAGAAAGAACTGATCTTGTCTGAACACAGACTGAAGTCTGCTTGCTTTCCCTCTCTCTCTTTTTTCTTCCTTCTTTGCTTTCTCTCTCTCTTTCTCTCTGTGAGTCTCTCTCTCTTTCTTCTTTCCCCTTCTCTCTGTCCACATGGAGTATCATACCCTTACCTGCGGGTGCCTTAAACCCAAATCACCCGGGCTCTCATTGATTGGCCAATCATAGGTCCAAGGCCAAGCCCTACTTGGTCATTGTTTGGTCCCTGATTGGCTCAGAGTGAATATAAAAAGCAATTGTTTCTGTTTTAGCCAGAAACCCTGAAGGTCTTCCCCTCCCCGACTGAGTTGTTGTTTTTGTTTTTTTTAACTATGTGAAAGAGGCCATTCTCTGCCTTATTTCTTTCTTAGTCTTAATCACTGATTGGGTATGCCTCAATCACATCGAAACCTGTTAAAGACAACTTAAAAAGGCCAAGGTCCCCTACCGAATCCAAGGCCATCTCCAGTCACCCTGATCTATATTTTGCCACTGGGCCCAGATGGCTCTAGAGCATAGAGTGAGGCTGGTGACTTTGCATAACCCTCCCTCACTTAAATCTAATTCACTCTGTAGTCATGGCATCACTTCCCTGATGTCAGGTTCTCTTCCAGAAGAAAGGACAAACAACAATAGGGAACTGTATAACCTATATCAAGTTGCTCACCATCTCAGGGATGGGGGAGGGGAGAGAGAAAGAGAGAGGGATAGGATTTGAAACTGAAAACTTTTTAAAAAAAAAACAAACAAATGTTAAAATTTGTTTTTATGTGTAAGGGGATGGAGGAATAAAAAAAAATTTTAAGTAATTCCTGCTATATATAATTGCTCTCCTCCCAAATCTTTTCTACTTCTAAATATTAAATGCAGACAAATTTTTGCAAATCTGAAGTGAGAAAGGGAAACTTGCTTTTTTTTTTTAAAGGCTTTAAAATGTGGTCCTTTTGCTTGGTGCCTGTTCCCAGGCAGAGATGACATCTTTGACTCAAATCTCATTCAACGGGATCAGGGCACCCTTGCGAGTGACCGGAGAGGAAGGAGATTCCCTGTATACAAGAGTTTTCATTTCAGAGGATGTGATGGGACTGCTTTAGGAGTAATCATAGGAATAAATACAGGATTTAGAACTAGAAGGAACCTGAGAGACGAAAAACTCAGAAGCCTGTTTGGTGCCCTGAAATCAGTTTCCTGTTGTAGACATTATTTCCCTCCCTAACTTTAAAGAAAAATACTGGCACTGAACCACATTCCTTGGTAAAATATAATCAATTCCCAAATTTTAAAGGAATTGTATTTCATATTCTTCCTTAGTGTGTACAACCAATTATTCACAAATCAAATTAGGGATTAAAGTTAACTCCTTCAAATTGTAGGGAGAAAGAGTTTATACTCACATATGAATAATTAACATCCTCTCATTAGGTACTCCAGCCCCAATCCCACAGGAAAGCACCCAAGCTAGCCCAGGACATTGTGCTTTAATGTGCTTGCAGGCTGGGCGGACCACACACGTGCAAACTCTTTGTCACAAGCCTCCTCCCTCCTCTTTCTCCTAACAGCACTTCTCCCTCCGGCCAGAAGGGAGCTGTGAAGAGTACTAAGAAAGTGGTACAATCCATGCCGTACACACCTGTCTTCCGCGAAGTAATGGTTCCTTCCAGTGTGGTAGAAAAGCCTTGTGGGGAGGGTGGAGCGCTCTTTTTCCAGTCTCACCACGACGAGTCTGCGTCTGTTATTCAGAGCAGTGGGGAGCCTCTAGGCACCATCATGGTGTGGTGCCCTTGGGCCGCCGCGGGGCCGCTTCTCCCTGAACGCGGCTTTTTGGGGCCGTGCCCGCGACCACCCTGAGGTAGGTAGTCTGGCGAGGCCGGCGGAGCGTGGTCGGGGCGGTGATAGGGACCCCCGCGTCCCGCACGCCCGTTCGCAGTCTGCGCGTGCGCGCTCCTGCGGCCTCGCGTCCGTGGGAGCCCGGGCCCTGCGGGGGTTGGCCCTGGCCCCTCTAGCGTCCGCCACGTGAACCCGATGCAGCCGGGTTAGTGAGGATGCAGCAACGAGGCGCGTTTACTCACCCGTGGCGTTGGGGTCAGAGGAAGTAAGAAGCGGGAAGCACTTAACTTGGCCATTGCTCAACAAGCATTTAATTTATTAAAGCACTTTTTATGTGCCAGAAACTGCGCGTGCCCGAAAGGGGAGACGGGGGAGTAATGGTCAGTGCTTAATCACCGCCTCCCCGGAGGGGAAATGAGCGCAGGAAAGTTTAATCAGCATTGCTTACGGGGCTATCAACAGAATAAGTCAGGCCTTGAATTGTAACCGGTTTCAGAGGTGTAGATGTTCACCCAGGAAATTCAGTTATGAAAGCAGATTACAAGAAGTTTCCAACAAAGCCCTGAAACAAGGTGTAAATAATTAAACTCGGGACACTTAGTGAACAGTGGTAGAGAGGGGAAGGCACGATTGCATGTATTTGCACAACATGTTGACTTTATTTTCCTTTTTTAGGCCCGAAATTGGCAAGAAGCTGAATCGAGGACGTCCAGGCCTCCCTGGAAAGCGGAATGTGTGGAGGTCCGTTAAATCAATGAGGAAGACTTAACGTTGTAAGATCTTGTGTCTCACCAAAAGCAGATTTAATTAAAACTACATAAGTCGTTGGATGTTTAGCTTAGTGGAATTTTTCAGGATATTTTGTCGATTATCAGTGCAAGAATTTTGCCTCAGGAAGAAAAAAACGTACTAAGCCAAATAATTCCATTTGTCTCTTTAGGTGGGAAGATGTCTTGATGTCAAGGCTACGCCCTTCGATGCTTAGCAAGTGTCTGGTGGACAGATGTAGGCTATTTGCCTTTTGTGTTGCCCGTTCACTTTGGTCACTAGTGGATGTGGTGTCAAAAAAGGCAGAAATAAAACACTTTGCAGCCTTTTCTCTTGCCTTGGGATTTTTTGTTCCATTGGCGAGTGTGCTGTATAAGTAACAAGTTATAGTTCAAAGTGTGAAAGCTTAAGGAGTATACAGAAGAGGAGGCTCCCTCTCTTAAAGCCACAAGGTTTATTCCTTTACTTTTCACTGCTTCTGTTTAGATGAATTGGACAAGGACACAAAATCAGAATCAACAGCTGCTGTCATCATCTTTGTGGATTCCTAAGGTGACTAAGGTATGATTTTTTTCATTGCTTATTGGAGTTGTTACTGGGCTCCTATTATAATCTGCTTGATCCCTTTCTATGTAACTTTCTGTCATCAATTCTTCTCCATGCCTTTATCAGCTTCTTGAAAAGCCTTTGATAAACATAGCCTAGATTTGTTTTCATATCCTGCCTTGCCTTTTATTCCTTATTTCACAAGCAATTATTGTCTTTCTCACTCTTAAATTTTAACAGAAAACTTTCTGTCCCTTAGCTATTCCTATTTGTATCTGATCAGTCACTAGATTTTGTGTCCAAATCTCACATTCCATATTTCTGTCTTTTGATAAAAATTTGTCCTGTAGATTGAATGCTATAGCCACCACACAGAACGGGCTTTTCCAGGAGACTTCTGTTCAAGTTCTGGCTCAGATCATGAAAAATTGACTTAAAAACAACCATCCAGACAAATCCAATCTCCGTCTTGGTTTTTAGTCATACTGCAGCTGCAACTGCCTCAAGTAATTCTACCCTTAAGTAATGTGACTATTAATTAGAATATTTTTTTTCTTCCTCTTAGGGCTGTAAATCCTTTTTCATACATTGGGTCTCCAAAGAAGTTGATAAATCTTAATTTTATGTTCCTGTTGAATTCCACAAGTAATCCAAGGTCTTCGTGGAAGAAAAGCTATTAAAAGGCTTTGGACTTGGGAGATTAGTGGTGGTTTTAGATTATTGAGCTCTCCAGAAGGGCACAGTCATCTGTAATTTTATCTCTTGTCTGTTATGGATTCTGTGTATTAAAAAATTATACGTAAAACAGCTTGACTTCAGGGACTTTTTCTTTTTAAAAGGTTGTTCCCTTATTGTCTTAATATTAAAAGGTGCTTCCTGAGAAGGAATTTTTTTTTTAATAAATGAAGAAATAGGCCCCCAAAAGTAGGTGTTTTGATCCCCTGACAAAGGCTGATATGTCTACCGCTTCTACCTCCCCATTGCATTTGTGGTGCTGCCCTGCAAGTGGCAATCCAATCCCTAGAGATTTAAGATAATAAACACAAGCCCTAAAACTCATAGCTGGTATTCCAAGGTAGCCATTCCAATGGCCAATGTAGCTTCTGAGTAATTTGTAAAGAGCCTATGAAGATTAGCATTTAAGACTATCTGATTTTGAGAACTCGTTCCTGTGTTTGGGAATACAAAAGCCCTGGTGCTCAAGGAGACTCAGAACCTAAAGACAAAGGTTTCAGGTTGGTAGAAAAGCTGGGAAGCATTAAGGGGCCATTTCTGAAGCATCTGGCCTTGGTAGCAATAGACATTAGAACAGTCTTCACTAGGGAAACATCAGTCAGATTTGCTTAACAGTTTAACTTAAATATCTTTCAGGCCTTTAAACCAAAAAGTACTGACATTTAAAGATCTTGTACATTGAAGCACTAGATTAAGTTAACAATGGCATAGTTTATAGATTCCAAGGAACAATACTGGTACTTTGTCACAGATCAAGTGTCTATTTTGAAGTGGGATGTTTGTATGGTCTTTATTATCTTTGTGCTGTGTTTTCCATCCAAGTTGCTTGTAGATATCTGAGGTTTTTCTTGTATAAGGCTGTCTTTAGACCCAATTCTAATCTGAAAAAAAAAGTTTGAAATAATGCTGAAAAATGAGGTGTATAAATTAGATTATTCTAAATGCATCAAGCACAGTGAAGGCAATTTAAGGAAAAAATGTTTTTCAGTGTTAGTGAGTAGGGAATATTAAGCTTTCAACACATGAAAATGTGATTTGCCAGTTGGACATAAAATGGAAAGCAATTGTAAATCAAGTGTCAAACAGGGCCAATACTCTTGAGTGTAAGAACCAGTCTAAAATATAGTTGGACAAGGTATATCTAGAGTTCGATAACTTGTAAATTTTATACCATCAAACAAAGCAATGGGGACGTGGGGAAACGGTTTATGTGGAGCAGAGCAAGAACACTGAATTTAGGACCAAAATTGAGTTCTTAGATAACTTTACCTTTCTGGGCCTCAGTTTCTTCATCTATAAAATGGGCTAGATGGGCTAATTGACCTTTTTAAAATTAGATCTTTCTCCAGTATATTCTAATGGATCACTTGTGCATGGTACATGTGAGAAATATTTCCTACTACCTTCCTGTTTAAAGTGAATCTGAGGAGTCTGCCTAAACTCAGTCTCAAGGATTCTAGTACCCATTTTAATCTAGTCTGGTTCCTAACAACACTTGACATATCAATTCCCACAAAATTGATTTCTTTTGGATAGAAATAATGGGCAAGTCAAATCACCTGAATCCTGATGTTTGTTGGTTTTTTTTCCCATTGTTCTGGTGATGGAGCAGGTGAAAAGGAGCATAAATGGGGTAGCTAGATTTTGTAGTGGATAGAGCAAAGGCCCTGGAGTCAGGAGGACCTGAGTTCAAATCCATCCTCAGACACATAACATTCACTTAGCTGTGTGACTCTGGACAAGTCACTTAACTCCAACTGCCTCAATTAAAAAAAAAAAAGAATAAACGCTTAAAAAAAAATTTTAATGCCATCTAGCCTGTAAACCCCAACATATTTTTTGAGGTTTCAGTGATCAAAATTTACATTCCTTTGGGCAAAGCACCCAAAGATAAGGGTATTATACCCCATGTGGACCGAGGGAGAGGAAGGAGGAAAGGGAAGGGGAGTGAAAGGACAGGACCTGAAGATAGCACTACTAAGGCTATATATTCCAAGGATGTGAAGGAGAAGGGACCTATGAACAAAAAATGTTTATAGTAACTTTTTATTACAAGCAATGGACTGGAAATAAAATGGATGTCCGTTAAATGGCTGACTATGTGATATATGAACATAATGAAATATTGTTGTACTCTAAGAAATAATGAACCGATGAAGAGTAAAGTAGGCAAAACTAGATGAAAATTTATACAAAACAACACTAAAGAAAAGCAGCTTTGAAAAAAATAACTATGTTGGATCCAGTGACCAAGCACAATTCCATGCTACCTGAATTTTTGGACATGGCTAGTGTGGAAATTTGATTGAATATGTTTATTACCAAGTGGTTTTGTTTTAATTTTTACAGTTTAGGAGTACAGGCTGGGAGGGGAAGAGGAAGTAGAGTTGCCCAAAAAAACTCTAAAAAGGACAAAAATGAAAGGAGGCCATTGAAACTTATAATACACAAAGGAGAAAAGAAGGAAGGGCAGAAAGTATCATAGACAAGCTGGATAGCTTTGAAAGTTGTGTTGAACTTTACTTGAAAAGCAAATGATACAAATGGGCATAATTTCATCCATTATCCTCATTTTCAGGTCTGCTTTGTAAATGGAAATGCTCATTTTATTTGGTGTCCTTAGAATTAAAAAAAAAAAAACTTTTAAAAAAGGAAAAAAAAACCGCATCATTACTAACCTGATAGGAAGTAGAACCACTAAAACATTGTGCATCTGAAGATCGAGTCACAGGAAGAGGTGGCACAAGATCAGTCTTTGTACTATAGAAAGAAAATTAGGTTTAAAATGAATGAATGGAAGCTAGAATCATTAGAATGTTAAAACTGAGTGGGACCTTAGAGTCCCATCTGATCCAGTGTTTCTCAAACTATGCTGCAAAGAACCCTGAAACATTCCAAGCATTTTTCTTTTTTTCTTTTTTTTAAATGAACCTCATGATGTTTGTTAATAAGCATTCAAAATAATTGTAAATGATTTTACTACAAGGGTTCTGTCAAGATCTTCCTCATGATCAGGGGCCCACTCCTTTTGGGTGCTAGCTACTTGGAAACAGCACTAAAAATAGAATGAGGCAGTATAATTTCTTGATTAGTTAACAATAGAAACGGGGAAAATTCTATGATTAGTTGAGGAGCAAGAATTAAATGCACTGTGAGGCACAGCAGCTTAGTAGAAAAAGCTGTGAAGATAATTTTGATACTCCCTACTCAAATTAATAATGATTATATTTGTGAATTAAGCAGAATAGGGTCAAGTTTAAGTTAGTTATGTACGTTAAGTACTTTGTCAGCAGGCTTTCGAGTCATTAACTGCAGGTTTTTCCTGGTAAAGGCATTCCACTTGCCACCTCAATAAAGGTTTTTGTAGGAAATCAAACAATTGGTATTTTGGTCAATGACATCCTAGGAAATAAGTGGTAGGTGAAAGGAAAGGTCGAAATTGATGAGTGACAATGATTCATAGGGGTAACAGGTGTTGATACTACTGTGACAAGTTTCAGGGTCAAATGTAATGTGCCACTCTATAACAGGCAGTCATACAATTTTATCCTATAACCTACAATGATACCACTAATACATAGTATATCACTAATACATAAGAGGTTATTTAGCCCTAAACTCTTATCCTAACAGCCTTAACATTTATAACTTTTAATCCTATTCTGCTTAATTCACTATCACTGATACCCATCAAATCACAATAAACCGAATAAATGCTGATTAATTTTAGTAGGTAGCATCAAAATTTTTGTCACAGTTGTTTCTACTAAGCTGCTGTGTCTCCCAGTGTATTAAATTCTGATCAAAATCTTTAGGCCTCCTTCTGTTTGCTTATTAGTTTCTCTATTCACTGATAAATACAAATGGCTGGATTATGGATGTCTTTAAAGTCTGAAATAATCTCTTATCAAAGCCACTTCTCTCAAACTGGTTAAGGCATTCATTATAGAACAGCTTATAGTTTCCTTCTTCCCTCCAGAAGTCAGGGTCTGGTTCCACAATCTTCTAAAGGCTTTGTAGGCTAATGGACTACTTATCAGTCCCTTGTCTAAAATCCACTCCACATTGAGCCCAGTCTGGGCTTGTGAAAGTATGACTGTGATCAGACCAACACGCTTACTTCACTTCTGACAGAACGGATCTCTCTCCATCTGAACATTGAGATCTTCGGTACTGGCGGTAACTTCGAGGGGAGTGAGAATGCCTAATGCGAATTGGGTCACCTTGAGTCCTGAAAAAGCAATACAAATCCATGAAAATAAACAAATAGATCAGATGCCAGAAAGCATTTTTATGACTTTACAATTGAAGTTCCTCTTCTTATTTTCAAAGGAATGTGACTTTTAGAATTTTAAAGCACTGATCTTTTCTATCTTTTAAAAAGTATTTAGGTTTCAAAAGTTAATTATATAAAAAGCATTCTTATAGACACAGATGTAGATGAAACATGAAATCTTTAAAGATTTATAAAAATCAACAAACCAGGGGCAGCTAGGTGGTACAGTGGCTAGAGTACCGGCCCTGAAATCAGGAGGACCCGAGTTCAAATTTGGCCTCAGACCAAACACTTGACACTTACTAGCTGTGTGACCCTGGGCAAGTCACTTAACCCCAGTTGCCTAAAAGGAGAAAAAAAATCAACAAATCAAATGTTCTAGGAAGTTATCTCCCGCCACAGGGTTTAGTCCAGTGACACAACAGAATGAGTTGATAAGACTTTGAAAGGAAGTGTCTATCTATTGACCTGGAAATGGTCCAATGGGACATAAATATATAGAATTTAGTGTATCATAAGAAATGAGGAATATAAAGGATTCAAATAAACCAGAAATATTTATATAAACTGATGCAGAGTGAAGTAAGCAGAACTGGAAAAACAATGACAACAACGTAAATGGAAAGACAAAACTGAAACTGTATACTTTAGTGTACTGAATGGAGGGTGGATTGGAATGAGGAGAAACTTGTTAGGCAGAACCAGCAGAAATAATCCAGGTGTGAGATGATGGGGTCTTATATTGGAATAATGACAATGTTAGAGGAGAGAAGGGGGTGTGTACTTGAGAGATATTGCAAAGTTGAAATTGACTAGCCTTAGCAACAACTTGCATGTGGGCTGGGGAGGGGGTCAGAGATAGTGAGAAATCCAGGATAACTCCTAGTTTGCAAGCCTGAGAGACTGGTAGGAGAGTGTTGCCCTCTATAGTAATAGGGGTTTAGAGGGAAAAGAAATGAGTTCAGTTTGAGCATTGGGTTTAAGATATATACTGGACATCAAGTCTGAGATGTCTAAAAGGCAGTCGAAGACACACAAGTGGAGGTTAGCTAGAGAGATTAGAGTGGGATTGGTAGATTTGAGAATCATCAGCATAGAGATAGTAATTAAATCTACTAGAGCTTATAAGATCACCAGGTGAAGTAGTATGGAGGGAGAAGAGAAGAAGATGGAGGACAGAACCATGAGGGATATGTATGGTTAGAGGGCATGATCTAGAAAAGGATCAGCAAAGCAGATCAGGGAGGAGAAGAACCAGGAGACAGTGGTATCCTGAAAACCTAAAGAGAAGAAAGTATCAGGTTGGAGAGGATGATCAATAATGTCAAAGGTCACAGGGAGATTGAGGATTGAGAAAAGGCCATTGGATTTCGCAACTAAGAGATCATGAGGAACTTTGGAGAGGGCAGTTTCAGTGGAATGAGAAAGTCTAAAGCCAGAAGACATTAAGAAGAGGGTGAGAGAAGAGAAAGTGAAGGCACCTACTGTATATGGCCTTTTCCAGCAGTTAGGTACAAAAAAGACAGAAGAAACACAGAATGATTGTTAGCTGAGATGAAAGGATGAAGCGAGAGTTTTTTAGGATGGGGGAGACATGGGCGTGTTTGTAGGCAGTAGGGAAGGAGCCAATATACAGGGAGACATTGATAACAAGTGAATAAGAATGACAGAGGAGGTAATCTATTGTAGGAGACAGGATGGAATGAGATCACTTGAAGAAGTAGAGGGGTTTCTCTTGGTAAGAAGTAAAGCCATTTTATTATATGAGACATGGGTGAAGGAGGAGATAGTGGCAGAAGGCATCTGAGTGATAGGAGATGAGGAAGAGAGGAGAAGAGGGAGTTCATAGTGAATGGCCTCAATTTTTTTCTGTAAAATATGAGTCAAGATTCTTAGCTAAGAAGGGGTGGGAGGGAGCCATGAAATGCTTGAGGAGGAATGAAAAATTTTGAAAGAGCCGTTGTGGAGAGTGGGAGAGTGAATTAAGGGAACTATAGTAGGACTACCTAGCAGCAGTGAGGGCTGAGTTGAAGTTGTGTAACATAAATTTGCAATGGACACAGAATAGTTGTGTGACTGTCCATCTCTGTTCTACAGTACATGTGTAGAAGCAAAGGTGGCAAATTTTGGGAGTGATCCAAGGTTGAGGCTTGGCTGGGCATAATCAGTGATATGATAAGGGGGTTATGGAATTCAACAGAGCAGGACAGTGTATAGTTGAATTGGTTCACCATGGGACAAGATGGGGAGGAGAGAGTGGCTAGTGCAGGGAAGAATTAGTAGGAGAGAAACGAGAGGTTAATGGATTGCATGGTGCAGATAAAGAGTAGGGTTTTTTTTAAGAGAAGGCAAAGGGAGAGGTAAAAAGTCAACAAATTATGGCTGGATAAGGAGATTTCAGAATTCTTGAATACAGAGGTGGTACATTTGTAGGTGATGGCAAGATCAAAGACGTGGCCATCTTTGTGTGAGGGTGAGGTGGGATGGAGGAGTAGTTCATGGGAAGTGAGTAGGTTGAGAAACTGAGTTGTTAAGGTACTTGAGATAAAGTGAATATATGCTGCCACTGCACAATGACTGAATATAGAGGATCCCAAGAAGCTTCCAGAAGCATGCTTGATATGTTCAAACATAGGTATTTCATTGGGCATCCTCAGTTGAAATTTCCATACTTAAATTTTAGGAATTATGGTAATAGACTTTGTTATTGTTCTCATGGCATTTTAAAGGATTTACCATGTAGTAAAAATTCACTGTAGTCTTTAAAGGCACGGCTGTTCCTAAGATAGAAAATAAGCAACTAATAGAAGCAGATAGTGATTCATGTCCCTGCAAACAAGGATTACTGATTTTAAGGGAAGTTCTCACATTCATCTTCATCTTTAAAGTACAAATTAAAGACAAAATTCACAGAAGTGACTAAAGTCTCATTTTACTTAAGATAGTTACAAGACAATGGGTAATGCTTAGAAGACTTAAGTATTCCTCAAACTTTTGTGAAAATAAATTTCAAGGATAAACTCACTCTATTTTGGTGTAAGGAATCTCTTTTAATTGTTCTTCTGACAATCCAGAAGGATCCACGAGTTCTTTCCTAGAAGGAAAAGGCAAGAGAGCAAAGTTTATGGTGATGCAATTGCCTCAAAGACAATGGCATTAATCATCATTGGCTCACTAGTGTCCTGTGTTAAAACATATTGCAATATCAAATGTAAAAATAGATGAATGTTAATTCAAATTCAAGGATTTGTTCTAGGAGAAAGGGAAAAATAATCTTTGCTGACCACCATCTTTGTCTTTCTGTCCTTGTCTCTCTCTGAGACTGTCTCTTTTTCCGTCTGTCTGTCTCTCACACACACAATTTTCCTTAGTGCTTATTTGGGTCTGGTTGGCCTGTCTTATATCCTCTTACAAGTTACATGACCCTAGACTGGAAAGTTCCAGAGCTTTCTGGTGGTCAGGGGCTATCTATATCAGCAACAGTAGTATATGACGTATTCCAGCTGCTTTATTAGCACATCACTGTAATAACAGTAAGCAGCACACGAACAGGATCCAGCCTAATGATAATTTTCTGAGGGTTGGCTAGACTTTCTTCTACAAGACTTTCTTCATCAACACTCAGGACTGATAGCCTTTCTTACAATACTCACTGAATATGTTTCCATAGCTCTTCTTTTGCTTGGACATCTGGGCTTCTCCTGTAATCACAGAAATCAGGAATCAACCCTGACAGCTTCACATTTCACTTGGCCCACTGACAGTACAGACTTTTAATCTGGCAAGAGCAGCAGGTGCTAAGGTTTGGGAGAATTGATGAGTTTTATGTGAAGATTACAAACACTTTAACTATAAGAGTTATCAAAGCAAAATAAAACTAAGTTCTAGTTTCCTAAAAGAAAAAAAAAGGCTAATGGCATTTCTTTTCCTTCCTTCTCACCACTTTTAAGTCGAAGCAAAATGAGTAAGATAACATTTTGGTTTTGTTGACACTGTGGTACAACATGAACTGTCTTCACCTAATGTGAAATAACAACTGCAAGGGAAAATGAGTTAGTGGAACTTCTGAGACGGCAGAACAGATGACACTCAGCTGCTTAGGGAGCTTACTTTTGGTGAGACACCTCTTATGTCACAATTCTGCAGAGACAGAGGCTGTTCTAAATTAGAGACGGCTCCACCCAGCTAGTATATTGGAAAATTGCTGGTAACTGGGAGGTGATACAGCTCAGCAGAATGTTCACTGTTATCTGTTCTGCCATCTTGGTAGTTCTACCAACTCCATCTCCCTTGTAGCTATTAACTTACGCTGCTGGAGGTATATGCCTTTATTAATACTCAACTAAGCTATCCATCTTCAGAAAAAAGATAGTTTAAAGCAGTTGTGATTTGCACTGGATATCAAATATCTGATAACAAAAATTCTTAGAAGAAGTAAAGAGAATATTGCTAATAACTGCTATAAGGTTTCAAAAGTATCTGGATATCTGATATTTGTGACTATTCAGCTATCAGTTACTCATTGGACTGTGGTTTTGATGAGTGAGAGAGTGAGACTGAATGGCCTTTAATAGTGGTCTGGCCCTCACCATTACTTCTATTACTTAACAATATAAAAATTAAGAAGACTCTGAGTGAGTCACTCATGAGCATCTCCAGGTCTCAGTTTCCTCATCTATAAATTGACTAGATGATCTGAAAATTCTCTTCCAGTTCTAACCTACAATTCTATGAAATGATTCAAAGTTAATATAATAATCCCAAAGTAATTAATTTTCATTCCCATGACTGAATACTAGTAAATTAAGAATCATTTTGTATGTTGGTTTTTTTTTTTTTGGCTAGGCAACGGGGTTAAGTGAGTTGCCCGGGATCACACAGCTAGTAAGTGTTGTGTCTTGTGTCTGAGGCTGGATTTGAACTCAGGTCCTCCTGAATCCAGGGCCACTGCTCTATCAACTGCCCCACCTAACTGCCTCTGTAAGTTATTTTTGAAGTGAACTGGTAATTTTATCTCTATCTATTAAACTTTATGTTGCCCACATTCTAGTTCAAATTGTGTTTGGAGTGCCCAAGATTCCAGGGCAAAGGATACTTCCAAAGCTAAAGAAGTAAACGCCAGTTCCTTTCAAAGTGTGTGTGCTTTTAAATAAATCTAAATTGTGCTCTGGGCTAATACGGAATGCATTAGCTTTCTGTTTGCACCAATACACACTTTAGCTGTAAGCTAAAAATCATTAATATTTTTATTCCATTTGTTAAGGTATATTTTAATATGCAACTTTATCTTATCCCAAGCTAATATATTTGACTTTTTCTTGTTCTTTTATCTTTGCTTTATTTTTTGACACTTCCATGTACTTAACATAAATTAGAAGTTGAAATTTAACTGGATTTTAAAGCTTTCTAAAAATGTTAGGAAAGGAGGATAGATTCAGGTAAAAGAAAAAATTACCAAAACATTGTATCTACTAAATTCATTGCGAACATGAGCTTTGGACCTTCAAGGTTTTGCTGATTTTCTTGTTTGTGGGTGACTATTGACTTCAAAGAGGATCCTTTGATACTTCAATAAATTAATTTCTTACTCTGAAGTAAAAAACAAAGTGTACACAGAATTCTGCTTTGTAGTGAGGCTACAATGTGTTTGATTTTAGAGCTAAAAACTTTATTCAGTAAAAAAGCAAAACTCAGTCAAGGTATTTAATTCTTATGTTATTAAAAGTTATTCTTATGTTATTAAAATCCTTAGTATAAGAACGTCCCTTTGAAAAAAATGGCATATCTTAGATTGGCCACTGATTTAACTATACTGACAGTCTGAGTCTGTGTCTTGCAAAGGCATGCCAGGGTAATGGCTTCACCTAGGCTTCTTTAATATTGTCCAGCCCTCTTAGCTTCTCTCCTGACATCTTTCTGCCTAAGTCTCAGACTACCTCCCACCTACACAGGTTCTCTCCAGCATTCATTTTCCTACAATTGGCCACCCCTCTTGCTATCTGGGTCACACACTCTTACTTGGCAAAACTAATTCCAGATATCCTATCATTTACTCCAGGGACATAAAAGAATCAGAGGTGAATCTAAATATACTTCAAAGAACTGTTCTTGGCAAGCCTCTAAACTCAGCTAGCACATAGATTAAATAAAAGGCAAGAGGGGAATTAAACTATGCTTTTATCAGCTCAAATAAAAATTAATTTCAGCAACTGGAAATCTCACTGTTGAAAGGGGATAATTGTGCTCACATGTAGTATCACCTAGCAATACCATGATCAGCAAAGGATTGACTGACTTCATCAATTCCTGCTTATTAATGTTAATTTATTTTAGTCAATGTTAATTTGATTTGGCTAGATTTGCATCTGGCTCAATCTGGAACAATATATTAAAAATTCTGGTGACAAGCTGTATGGTTTAGCAAGTACTTCAATAGCCTTTCATGACCAAAGGATCATAAGATCTATGTTAAAAAGGATCTCAGGCATCATCTAGTCCAACTCTCCACTCAACAGATGAGGAAACTGAGACCCAGAGAGGTCAAGTGACTCGCCCTAAATTATACAAGTAGTACATGAAGATCCAGAATTTGAACACAGGTCTTCTGATTCTAAATCTAGGGATCTTTCCATTGAAACACTTTTTTTTTTTGAGTTGAGCATCTGTCTTTGTTTTTCTCTCATTTTGACAATAGTTTGTTTTGACTATTCTCTAACCCTTATAGTGGCTATCAGAAACCAAGGCAGCTAAATATATAAAAGTAGAAAAACAGTGGAATAAATCAATTTGAAGTGATTCATTATGAAAGCTGCAAATATGCAAGGGAAATAGACCAGCCTGATTGGTTTGACATGTAATATACTTTTTCAATTTTTGTTTTTTTAACATGAAGTGTTAGAACATTTCACATACGAGCGTGATCTGTGTCTGGATCGCCGGTTATTAGGGTTGGCTTCATTTTTCTCATTTTGATGTCTCAATGCCGCTTCCCACTGAGGCACTGAATCAACCATGCCATTCTCCTGCCTTAACCTGGAAGAAAAAGATTCATCTGAAGTTAACATCCCTGGGGTCTGGCATCTTATTTTTAGATTCCTGCTTTTAAAAGTTGTGGCATAAGGAGGAAATTTCATTACTTGTTGTCATCTTAGAATGTACTCACCAGGAAAATAGATGTAAATAGATGTAAATATATGCATGTATATTCAAATATATGTATCAGATACATATGTTGTTGACTAGTTTTGCTTAACTATTTTTCTTTTTAAAAGGAAGAATTCTAAGGGGGAAGATGTGAGCCAATAGCTTATGTACGAAGAAGAAAAGTCATTAATAAAACTTTGAGGTATATGTAATGTCTGTGTGTATACATATACATGGTATTCTTAGAGTAGTTATCTGTTGCCAGTTTTCTAAGGCAAAAAGTATATGACTATGGATGTATATGTGGGTATATATAAACTTTTTTTTTAAAAAAAGTTCAATTTCTGAAATTTAAACCTTGAATTCCAGTATTCTTTGAACCAAAGACAAGTGTTTTTCACAAGATCTAGAGAAATGCACTAAGATGAAAATGAAACAGGAAGCACAGTAGCTTCATATATACAAATATTCTATGACTTCCTTATTCAAGCTTACAAAATTTCATTTAAACATCATGAAATGTGTGTAAGATAGGGACAAATATGAGAGGAGATAGGAGAAATACAAAAAAGTTAAGTAAACTGCCCAAGGGACCATAACTGGTTTGAGACTGATTTCTGATCATTTCCATCCTGATACCTTCCTATAAAAGTTTTATTATATTTTTGAACCATTATGGAGTTTCTTGTTGCTATTCCATGATCTCTAGAGAATATATAGATTTTCTTTTTCATTGAGAGTTTTTGTTTCACATTCCTTTATCATGAAGTTATTATTGTTTTGGACTTTTAAAAAGTCCTTCCTCATTTTGATTTCTGTATTTGAGTGTCATTTATCTACTAGGGAGCTAGGGTTATACCCACTAATTCTCAATTGGATTTTTTTGGTCTTTCATACTTTTTCACATATTCCATTGTCTCTGGCTTCATTCCTCATTGTTTGGGTTCCTCTTCCTTCTAGTGCTGTAATTTTTATCTTTTCTCTCAAATTGTGTCAGCTTCCTCTAGTGGGGTAATATGGTGTGCAGGCTGGGACAATGCTCAGAGTTAACTGACTACCGCCAGGTTTCTAGTCCCTTTTACCTTAGGCATAGAAGCCCAGTTCTCTGGGCCTAACCAGTCTTCCATTCTGTTCCCTAGGACACCCCTTGCCTAGGTGTGTATGGTCAGGACCAATATTTTCTACTTCTTGCCAGCTGTAGGAGGTTCAGACCAAGTCAAAGACTTCCCAAAGACTTTGGGAATCACCAAAACTAGATCCTGACACAAAAGCCTGTGAGGTAGGCCAAGCCAGGTGGGAGCTTTAAGTATTTCAGATCTATGATGTTATTCATTTATTTTAAATGACTACCCCCACCTCTACTACTGATAAATCATTCTTATTTTCTTTTATAGATGGCCCTGTCTCCTTCAGATATTCCTTTGCCTTTACATACTAAGAAGACTTATTATTTATTGGCATTATGTAAATTTCCTTGTATTTTCAACTTTTTTCTTTTTTTGAAGATTGGGTCTCTTTATCTTATCTGGGCTAGAAATGCAAGGGCTACTCATGAGCTTGATCCAACTATAGACTGGCACAGGAACTTTGATATGCTCCATTTTTAACCTGGGTTGGTTTGCCCATCCTTAGGCAACCTGATGCCCCCCTCCCTCCTGGGGACTAACCATATTGATATCTAAATAAATGTAGATTACAGACACATGACACCACACCCAGCTCTCAATTTTTGTCTCAACCTGTTTTTAAATTGCTCTTCAGATATAGCTCCTGAAGGATGCTTAAGGAACAGAAAAGAATTTTTGCAAGCAAAGATATGTCTCAGTAAAAACTTGTGTTAAAAATAACTTATTTTCATTTCACAATAGCTATGATTGATTTTTTTTCTTTTCTATATATTTTCAGGTTCTACAAGGCCTTTAGATACTTCTGTGTATGTCAGCAAATGCCCATTTATATGTATGTTTTGATGTCTTATATGTAGGTAGCCTAGACCCTAACAAATGTGGACCCCTATTTTAATGTATGACCATGCACATAACAGTCCATTTCTTGATTCTGTGCATTTTCATTATCCTCCGTACCTGGAATTCTCTCCCTCTTCATCTCTACCTCCTGGCTTTCTTCAAGTCTCTGATAAAATACCACTTTTTGCAAGAAGCCTTTCGCAATTCCCATTGAATCTAGGGCCTTCCCTCTAAGATTATAATCAATTTAAGATATAGGTATATACATGTGTGTATGTGTATCTGTATATCTGTATCTTGTTTGTAGATAGTTCTTTGCATGTTGTCTCCCTCATTAGACTGTGAGCCCAGAAGGGACTGTTTTGGTCTTCCTATCACTTAGCAAAGTGCCCGGAACATAGTAGGCACTTAATAAATGCTTGTTGACTTGACTTGTGCTAAGTCAGCATTTCTTCAAACCCACAGCTTACGAGCTTCTTTGACCAGATTAAACAAGAGGCTATATTAACTCAGAGCAAAAGCTTTTAAGCAGAATTCCTGGGAAAAGGTAAAAAAAAAAATCCCTTAACCAGGGAGAGTGCACTCTCACAGAATCTCATACCATCTGTGGGAAAGGGAACTTAAGGAGCTCAGACTACTTAGTGTTCCTAGGGTTGAGTCCCAGCTGGAACACCTATCTCCCAATAGACAACGCTGCCTCCAGGTCCTTCCCCAAAGTCCTGCTGATAATCATCTCTTAGGCTGATTTTCCCCCACATTGCACCAGAGGTTCTTTGCCAAGCAGCTATGGCCATTTTCAGAATTTAAGCCACTAAGCAGTGTTTAAAAGTGGGGGAATGCAAATACATCTTCTAAACGCAGCCCAGGGCTATTTCAGTTCTTGTCAATCTCTGAGAAGCACCCAAAAAATATTGCAAGAGTTTCTTAGGGCAAACCTTTTAAAGCCATAAATTAACACCCCAAGGGAACTACAAAGCATTTGAAGAGCAATTCATCTATAAGCTAAGTATCTGTTATTATTCCCCCAAAATAGAGAAAGATGACACTCCACTAAATTCTTTTGGCATTCAAAGCTCTTCCTTGCCTGCCCCTCCACACCTTTCCAATCTTCTTATACCTAATCCCTGCCCCTGGACCCCCATGTACCCTGTGATCCAGTGGCACTGGCCTTCTTGCTATTCCTCATATAAAACGCTACATCTCCTGATTCTAGGCATTTTCACTTGCTGTCTCTCATATCTGGAATGCTCTTTCTCCTCATTTATATCTCCTGGCTTCCTATAAGTTTCAACTAAAATCCTATCTTCTACAAGAAGACTTTCCCAATGCCTTTTATTTCTAGTGCCTTCCATCTGTTCACTCTTTTCAAATTTATTCTGCATATAGCTTGTTTGCATGACTCCTTGAGAGCAGGGATTGTCTTTTACCTTTCTTCGTGTCCTCCAGTGCTTAACATAATGCCTGGCACGTAATAGATGCTTAATAAATGATTATTGATTGACTAATATATTTAGGAGTCCACCTATCAAGACACATACAATAACTGGTTTTTTTGGAAACAAAGACAGCCCTAAATAAATGGAGAGATATTAGTTGCTCAAGATTGAACTATGTCAAATATAATGAAAATACTATCTAAATTAATTTACAGATTCAATGCCATACTAATCAAGCTACTAAAGCCTTACTTTAGAGAACTAGAAGAAAAAAGCAAAATTCTTCTGAAGAAACAATAGGAAAAAATTCTCAAGGAAAATAATGAAATAAGTTGGAAGGAAGGAGGCCTAGCAGTACCACCAAAACTACTTGGTACTGGTTAAAAAATAGAAAAGTCAATCAATGAAACAGATTAAGTACACAACATACAGAAGTAAATGAACACGGCAACATAGTATTTGATTAAATCCAAAGACTATAACTACTGGGGTACAGACTCACTAGTTAATAAAAACTGTTGGAAAGATTTGAAAAGTCTGCTAGAAATTAGATTTGAACCAAGATCTCAAACCATCTCTTACAATAACCTTGAAATGGGTCTCATTCAGGGGTGGGGAACCTGAAGCCTCGAGGCCACCTGTGACCCGCTGGGTCCTCAAGTGCAGCCCTTTGACCGAATCGTTCAGTCAAAGAGCCACAAAGTCCTCAGCCTCACTTTCTTCCTGAGTCATTAAAGTCCAGTAGCAGGACAAAAGTCTGGACAGCTGATGATGGCCCAGGATGCAGTCTGGGATGCCTGACCAAACTCTAAGCACTCTGCACAGCCTTCTCTGGTGGCCTTCATGTCCCCTGGAGGAACAAATTATTCTTACCTGCCCATTCCACCTGGGAAAAGACTTCACATGCTTGGGGTAGATACCCCCCTAACTCACCTACAGGTTTGAGGCTATTTGGTTACCCTCAGCCTGCTTTAGGCTGTCTACCAAGATGGTTTACTGGGGCGTGGCCACTCTATGTGCTACAGCTTCTTGGAGCCACAGGTGAGAGTTGGGGGAAGGTGGACACCAAACGTAGACCGAGCATCCCTGAAAAGAGCTTGGCAAGCCCTCACACCAGAAGTGCTAGTCCTCCCTGAACAATTAGAAGACAAAGAAAGAAAATCTCTTTTACGACTGTGAATAGAGGAAGACTTCATGCCCAAGTAAAGGATAGAAATGTTCCCATTCTGTCCAAGTAGGTAAATTAAGACAGATGAGAGGAAATTTTTCTTTTTAAATAAAGGATGAACTATTGTAGTGGGTTCTTGGGGTTAACAGTCCCCCACCATTTAACTTCTCACATAAACACAGTCCTATCATTTTTCTCTCTCTGAAGAGTAACAGAAAATGCTTAATTCTTAAAACAGAACTGCTGAAGCAAGATTATTAACGTTTTATCTTTCAAACAAGGCAAATGGTTTGCAGTTTTGAAAACTTTGTACCCTCCTATTCTTACTCAGTTTCCTCATCCATAAATGAGAAGGAGATGGCAAACCACTCCAGCATCTTTACCAAGAAAACTCCACATGGGATCTTGAAGAGTAGGATATGACTGAAAAACAACTGAACAACAATATTCCACTTAGGCAATGTAGCTTTCTTCTGGGCTCTTTGTTAGAGTTTTGAAACTGCTTTTCCTCATGGTATCTAATTTGTCCTTGGCTCCTGGTGAAGACACTCTTAGGAGCCACAGCCATTCCAGGGACATTACTAGGACATTGTGTGCCTGGGGTGGGGGTAGAGAATGAGGCTTCTCTTCTTCTTCGCTCCCCTCAGTGACTTCAAGACCATCTAATAACTTGTTGACTTGCTTGAATGATAATTTCCTTCTTTACCAACAAAGGGAAAATTATACTCTGGGTCTGATTCTCACCAGTAGAACAGTGCTCTGGCAGCTGGATTAGAGATGATGGGAACTTTAGGGGGAAGTAACCCCATTTTCCTTTTAAAGTTAATGATACAGAAGCAAGCCAGGCATAATCTCACATGCACCCTAGATTTGAGGAGAGACGATTACAAAGGATGCAGAGGAAGGATATAGATTGGATTTCACAGACTAAAAAGTAAACCCAGGAGATATGGGTTCAGAATGAAATTTTAAATTCACCAAGGGAAGAATTCAAGTGAGGAAGAAAAACAGGAGTTGTCTAAAGACACCAACCAATTGAGATTTTTAAATATATGTACTATGGATGGCAAAAAGAGTAAGGAACACAGAATGAATTTTAAATGTTATGGTAAGCAAAGAACAGTGCGAGGACTACTAAGGTTCAGCCTTATACATAAGAACTGTAGTGGAGGGAGGGTTAGAGTCCAGACAAATACAAAAGTATGTATATGTTAAAAATACATACTTATATCTGGACATACAGGTGAACATTTGTGTAAATATATCTATTGTATATATTTGTATATTTCTTTTTTCTGGACTGCCACTATAATAGTCTGCTATACTACAGGCTCAGGGCCCTTATGTCATAGAAGTTAGTTTGGGCTCTTAAAGCCAATGCCAATGGCACTTTAGGCACTGGCTGATCCTCGTTAAAATAGATATGAGTATGGTCCTCTGAAAGATTTTCATCTGAGGGCCACCACTGTCCAACAAATGATGAATAATTTCGACCACAGCGATCATGAAACCATCTACTTGAAGCATGGAAGAGCTGAGAGTTTAATCCATGGAAAGAAAAACCATACTGATAAAATCAGACATGTATTAAAGAATTAACAATACTTCAACCACTTTTGTAAGTGGAAACTTAAGGCCTAAAAAAACCTTACATACTGGAACCAGGAGAAGATGTCATTAGGAAGAAGGAGGTTCCTCAAAAATTTGGTTGACTATCCAGCTCTAGCAATGTTTTAAAATTCAGCTAAGGAAAAAGATAATCCATGGCCATGACAGTATATTCCATTTATAGCGAAGATTTTTACAGGTGGAAAGAACCTTTGAGAAGGAACTATAACTCTGCTCTTTAGAATTAGACTGAAGAGCAAGAAACAGTGCACCATTTCAAAGAGGGCTTAAAGCTGTCCATAGTAATTGATTACCCTTCCACCTTCAGCAAAGGTCTACTAAAATAGTTTGGAGTGTCACCTGAGACTGGTAATTGAAGTAATAAGTTAGGAAGTCATACCTCAATTGAGTGGTTTGAGTGTATAAGGGTTGGAAAGCAAGTGTTTGGTTCGAGACATTGAAATGATTGTTGTGACTGTGTGTTTTCAGGTAAGAATCCCTGAGTAAATTATAAGGGAGTGTTTTGATCTTCTGGCTAGAGATCTCTGGCAGTTTTAAAGTTGTTTCTGAGAGGGGAATAAGAATTAAGGCATGTGGAGGCAGGCTCCCCTAGCATTCACTTAGGTGGTGATTTTGAGTGTGCACTGGGTCTTGGTCAACTCCTATGGAGCAACTGTAGGTAGAGACAGTGACAAATTCTGACAGACATATGAGCTGACTAGCACACTTCTGAGCTTCCAGTAGTTGCTACACAGGAGAGAACTAAGTATACATAGGATGACATGGGTGTTTTGAGTGGGTGGGTGGATCAGCAGGCCATTCTTATTGTTTGTACTACAATAGTAGGACCCTCCTTACCGGGTGGAATATTGGATTTAAATGTACACGGGGAGTATAATTTCCAACCACAGGACTTGACTTCAGAATTCCAGTTAGCTATAGTGATCAAACATTACCTGTTTCTCTTTTTCTGATGTTCTCTATTAGAATTTTCAGATTCACTACCACTACTTGTGTTACAGCGTGAGCGGGACCTGCAGAAAACATACCCAAAGACTTAGGACAAGTGTTATTTAGGAAGAAAAAAAAACCACCTTAACCAATGCTTCCTTAAAAGATGCCTCCAAGGATTCTATTTTACAATATAAACACTAAGGAATTAATGGCTTTAGCTTGCATTCCCTAGGTTAATATTTCTTCAATTAAAGTTAGGCAACTTTGGAAAATTCCTGGAAAGAAGAGAAAGTTAGAGAAGATTGAGTTTGTTGTCATATTGCAGCAGTAGGAACATAGCTATATCCAACATGTTTGATAAAGTGAATCTATAAATCACATTGTGGAGCAAATGAGAATTAAAAACAGAATTACTGAAGAATCTTTAATAAACTAGAAGAGCTTAGGAAATAGAACATTTTAAAGAGAAAATCTTAAGGGCTTAATGTAGATATTAATCCCACATGTCCTAATTTGAATATTATCACTATTACTGCTCAAGATGAAAAATTATCTAGTTTGTCTACACAAACAAAAAAATTGTCTACACAATCTCTACCCATTCTCTGTTTTACCTTCTCCTTTGCTTTAGATCTGAGTCTTCACCACTGTTACGTGCTTTCCTGAGGGAGAAAAAAAAATTAAGTTAAAGTAGATAACAATCAGCTAGCAAAGAAAAAAAACAAGCAAACCAGAAACTGCCCTTAACAAAAGAGATGACTTTTTAAAACTTGCCCTAAATCTCTCCTGTCACATAGTGACACAGAATTAAGCCTAAAATTAAGCCTAAAAATTGTTTATCTCCTTCAGTCACGTCTGACTCTGTGATTCCATTTGGAGTTTTGTTGGGAAAGATACTGGAGTGGTTTGCCATTTCCTTCTCTAGTTCATTTTACAGCTGAGGAAACTGAGGCAAATAGGTTTAAGTGACTTGCTCAGGGTCACATACCTAGTAAGCGCCTGAGGCTACAACCTAGCTGACCCCAAATCCCTTGTATTCACCCAAATTAATGGCAAATCCTGTTTGTCAATTTCAGAATTAATCAATTTATATAGGAAGAGTGAGTAAGGGCAAGTCCTATTGATAGTAGGAAAAGAATCAGTGTTCTGGATCAATATATGGCAATAATATAGAAATTATTTTTCTTTCTCACATGTATTTATTTTTAATTTATGGAATAAAACAAGCACTTCCATAACACAGTAAAATAAAAAAGATGATTGTACATGAAACTGTAAATCTATTACATACAGCTTACTATTCCTTTTAAAATATATAATAAAGTTGTATAAATTTCTTTTTTCCCCTTTTTTCTTCCCTTCTTCCACTCCTACCCTAGAGATGGCATATGTAAAACTATTCTCTACCAACTTCTATTGATCAGTTCTTTCTCTGTATGCAGATAGTGTCTTTCTTCATATGTGCTTTATAGTTAATTTGGGTATTTATAATAGTCAAAATAACTTATTTGCTCAAAGTCATTCTTAACACAATATTGCTGTTACTGTACACAATGTTCTCTTGGTTCTGCTCATTTTGCTCTTCATTATTTTGTGCAAGTCTTTCCATGTTTTTCTAAGATCGCTGAGCTCCTCATTTCTTATAGCACAGTAGTATTCCATTACAACTATATGCCACAACTTGCTCAGCCATTCCCCAATTGATGGGCAACCTCACAATTTCCAGTTCTCTGCCACCACAAAAAGACCTTCTATAAACATTTTAGAACATATAGGTTCTTTTCCTTTTCCCTTAGCGATCTTTGGAAACAGACCTAGTAGTGGTATTGCCGGGTCAAAGGGTATAGTCAGTTTAATAACTCTTTGGGGCATAATTTGCCTCTCACAATTCCACCAACAATGAATTATTGTCCCAATTTTTCCACATTCCCTCCAACATTTGTTACTTTCCCCTTTAATCATTTTAGCCAATCTGGTAGGTGTAAAATGATATTTCAAGGTTGTTTTAATTTGCATTTCTCTAATCAATAATGATTTGGAACATTTTTTCATATGACTATACATTGTTTTGATTTCTTCATTGAAAACTACCTGTTCACTTAGAGAAATACATTTTCCTTTGATCACTGCTTTTGCTATAGACTATAGGTTTTAATATGTTGTCTCATTGTTGTCATTCTCTTTAATGAAATTATTATTTCTATGATTTTTTCTTTAACGTGCTCATTCTTTAAGATTAGGTTGTTTAATTTCCAATGAGTTTTTAATCTTTGTTTCCATGGCCTCTTACGAAATTTATTTTTTATTGCATTGTGAGCTGACAAGGATTATTTCTGCTTTTAACCATAAAATTGCTGTGTACTAATATATGAGCAATCTTTATAATGGTACCATGAACTGCTAAGAAAAAGGTACATTCCTTTCTATTTCTTTTCAATTCTCTCTAAAAATCTATCATTACTAGGTAAGTTATTCTTGGAAGCACCTCCAGCTCTTTAGCTCTTCAAAAGATAATGTTCTGAGACCTATGGTTTTTTTTATTATAGAAGCTGCTAGGTCTTGTGAGATCCTGACTGAATTTCTGTAGTATTTAAATTGTTTTTTTCTTGTTGCTTGCAATATTTTCTCCTTAATCTAGGAGTTTTGAAACTTAGCTATGACATTTCTGTGTTTTCCTCTTGGAATATCTTTCAGGATAGTAGTTTTTTTCTTCTATTTCTAATTTACCCTCTTGTTCTAGAACTTCAGGGCAGTTTTCCTTAATAATGTCTTGTATTATTGTATCCAACTTCTTTTTTTATTTTTATTTTTATTTTTATTTTTTTTTCCATATGCTTTTGAGTTGAAAATTTTTCTCCCCTTTCTCCCCCCCACCCTCCCCAACGGGCACAATCTGATATAGGCTTTACATTTACATACCCATTAAACATATTTTCACATTAGTGAAGTTATAAGTAAAAATTAAAACGAATATGAGGAACTATCAGAAAAATGAAACAAAACTCAACTGAAGGTAAAAATAAGTGAGAGCGATTCGGCTTCCATAGTTCTTTCTTTGGATGTGGACAGCATTTTCCATCCCGAGGCCTCTGGAGATGTCTTAGATCCTTGTAATGCTGAGAAGGGTTCAGTTTAACATTAGTCATTGCATAACGTGGCTGTTATTGTGTACAAAGTCCTCTTGGTTCTGCTCACTTCACTCAGCATCAGACCATATAAGTCTTTCCAGGTTTTTCTGAAGTCAGCCTGTTCATCATTTCTTATAGCACAATAGTATTCCATTACATTCATATACCACAACTTGCTCAGCCATTCCCCAATTGATGGGCATCCTCTCAATTTCCAATTCTTTGCCACCACAAAAAGAGCTGCTATGAATATTTTTGTACATGTGGGTCCTTTTCCCATTTGTTTGATCTCTTTGGGATATAGCCCTAGAAGTGCTATTGCTGGATCAAAGGGTATGCACATTTTTGTAGCCCTTTGGGCATAGTTCCAAATTGTTCTCCAAAATGGTTGGATCATTTCACAACTCCACCAACAATGTATTAGTGTTCCAATTTTCCCACATCTTCTCCAACATTTATCATTTTCCTGTTTTGTCATGTTGGCCAATCTGATAGGTGTGATGTGGTACCTCAGAGTTGTTTTGATTTGCATTTCTCTAATCAATAATGATTTAGAGCATTTTTTCATATGACTATAGATGGCTTTAATTTCTTCATCTGAGAACTGTCTGTTCATATCCTTTGACCATTTATCAATTGGGGAATGGCTTGTGTTCTTATAAATTTGTCTTAATTCTCTATATATTTTAGAAATGAGGCCTTTATCAGAGAGACTGGTTGTAAAAATTCTTTCCCAATTTTCTACCTTCCTTCTAATCTTAGTTGCATTGGCTTTGTTTGTGCAAAAACTTTTCAATTTAATGTAATCAAAATTATCCATTTTGCTTTTCATAATGTTCTCTATCTCCTGTTTGGTCATGAATTCTTCTGTTCTCCATAGATCTGATAGGTAAACTATTCCTTGTTCTCCCAGTTTACTTATGGTATCAGCCTTTATATCTAAGTCATGAACCCATTTTGACTTTATTTTGGTATATGGTGTGAGATTTGGGTCTATGCCTAGTTTCTGCCATACTCTTTTCCAGTTTTCCCAGCAGTTTTTTTCAAAGAGTGGGTTCTTATCCCAGAAGCTGGGGTCTTTGGGTTTATCAAATAATAGATTACTATAGTCATTGACTACTGTGTCTTGCATATTTAACCTATTCCACTGATCCACCTCCCTATTTCTTAGCCAGTACCAAGCAGTTTTGATGATTGCTGCTTTATAATACAATTTAAGATCTGGAATTGCTAGGCCACCTTCCCCTGCATTTCTTTTCATTAGTTCCTTTGATATTCTGGACCTTTTGTTTTTCCAAATGAATCTTGTTATTATTTTTTCTAACTCTATAAAATAATTTTTTGGTAGTTTGATTGGTATGGCACTGAATAAGTAAATTAGCTTAGGTAGGATTGTCATTTTTATTATATTAGCTGGCCTACCCATGAGCAACTGATGTTTTTCCAATTATTTAGATCTGATTTTATTGTGTGAAAAGTGTTTTGTAATTGTGTTCATAGAGTTCCTGGGTTTGTTTCGGGAGGTAGACTCCTAAATATTTTATAATGTCTACAGTAAGTTTAAATGGGATTTCTCTTTCTATCTCTTGCTGTTGGGCTTTGTTGGTAATATATAGAAATGCTGATGATTTATGTGGGTTTATTTTATAGCCTGCAACTTTGCTAAAGTTGTTTATTATTTCAAGTAGTTTTTTACTTGATTCTCTAGGATTCTCTAAGTATATCATCATGTCATCTGCAAAGAGTGATAGCTTTGTTTCTTCTTTGCCTATTCTAATGCCTTCAATTTCTTTTTCTTCTCTTATTGCTAAAGCTAAGTTTCCAGTACAATATTGAATAACAGTGGTGATAATGGACATCCTTGTTTCACCCCGATCTTATTGGAAATGCTTCTAGCCTGTCCCCATTACATATAATGCTTGCTGAAGGTTTTAGATATATGCTATTTATTTTTAAGGAAGACTCCATTTATACCTATGCTTTCTAGTGTTTTTAATAGGAATGGGTGTTGTATTTTATCAAAAGCTTTTTCTGCATCTATTGAGATGATCATGTGGTTTCTGTTGGTTTTGTTGTTGATATGCTCAATGATGCTGATAGTTTTCCTAATATTGAACCAACCCTGCATTCCTGGTATAAATCCTACCTGGTCATAGTGTATTATTCTTGTGATAAGTTGCTGCAATCTACTTGCTAGTATTTTGTTTAAAATTTTTGCATCTATATTCATTAGAGAAATTGGTCTATAATTTTCTTTCTCTATTTTGACTCTTCCTGGTTTAGGTATCAACACCATATTTGTATCATAAAAAGAATTTGGTAAGACTCCTTCTTCACCTATTTTCCCAAATAGTGTATATAGTATTGGAATTAATTGTTCTTTAAATGTTTGATAGAATTCGCATGTAAATCCATCTGGCCCTGGAGATTTTTTCCTAGGGAGTTCATCAATGGCTTGTTCAATTTCTTTTTCTGAGATGGGGTTATTTAAGTATTTTACTTCCTCTTCGTTAATCTGGGCAATTTATATTTTT